TAAAATGTTGTTTGTTTTAAATATGGTGTTTGATCGCTAAAATTTTTCAATAAATTTATATACTATTTTTATTGCACTTTAAAGCATAGTAAAATTTAATTAAATAATTAAAGGATATTTTAAAAAAGTTCTTTTTGCTATTTCCAAAATTTCTTAAAAACAATGTAAAAAATTAATTTCAATTTAAAAACAAACTTTAACCTCAATGTTTCTTTGGTTCTTTTGTTTTTGTTTATTATTGCAAATAACGAATAGACTAGAAAATATTTTGTTTTGATAATGAATGAAACAAATGAGAATGCACACTTATCTTTCATTTCATCAATTTAAATCCTTTTGTTTTTGCTATTGTTGATTTCCTAATTATATGTGCTTAAATTTGCATATATTTATATACCAGATAATTATTTAACAAATATTGTTCATTTAATTCCTTCAAATTGTATTTGTAATAGATGATGAAAAAGGCTTGCTAATTTCATAATTATAATTGTTTAAATTTGCATATATTTATATACTAGATAATAATTAGCAAATATTGTTCATTTAATTCTTTCAAATTGTATTTGTAATAGATGATGAAAAAAGTTTGCTAATTTCTTAATTTGAATGAACAATATTTGTTAATGAAAAAGAAATAATTTTCTAGTATATATAATTATATGCAAATTTAAGCATATATAATTGAGTTTGAAATGGACGATGAAAAAAAGTTTCGGAATATACTTTAGCCTTTTAATCGTAAGTCTTTCTTTTTTAATAGTAATAATATTTTCAAATATGATTATAAAAGTATTCCTTCAAAATGAATATTATATTTTAAATTTATTTGAATTTCGATTTAATCTATAATTATTTAAATCATTCAATATTATCATCTTTTGGTCTTTTCTGTTTCGTTTCTTTTCATTTTTGATTTCCGAAATTTTTGAAAAAGAAAATTTTCATACTATATATTTTGGTATTACTCCAAATATGGATTACCTTTATGTTATTTTAATATAGCAAATATGGATTACCTTTATGTTAATTTAATATTGCAAATATGGATTACCTTTATGTTAATTTAATATTGCAAATATGGATTACCTTTATGTTATTTTAATATTGCAAATATGGATTACCTTTATGTTAATTTAATATTGCAAATATGGATTACCTTTATGTTAATTTAATATTGCAAATATGAAATACCTTTATGTTGCTTTAATACTGCAAATATGGATTACATGAACTATTTCACATTTAGATATTCTTTCATTAATAGGCAAAAAATAATGATAGCAATATTTGTTTTAAATTTCGAGATCGAAGGCACCTATGATATATGGTATTCACTATGATATATATTCACCTATGATATATGTTATTCACTATGATATATATTCACCTACGATATATATTATTTATCTCTGTTCTTTACTGATATTACTTATTTTTTGATTCGGAAAGAAAAAGGAAAAACTCTTTGCTATATCATTTTTGTACACATGCGATATCACTGATAAGTATTACATTGGAATAATTCTTTATAATGATTGATAATACTGATATTACTAATCTTTTAGGAGAGTGGAATTATTATTACAATTGAAATAATCCTTTGTAATGATTGATATTACTGATATTACTTATCGATTAGAAGAGAGGAATTATTATTATTACACTGGAATAATCCTTTATAATGATTGATATTACTGATATTACTTATCGATTAAGAGAGAAGAATTACTATTACATTAGGTATAATCCTATATAATGATAAGCGGAAAGAAATCATTATCTTAAACGATCCTTTGTTATTTTTTATTCTATTTATATTCTTCTTAGAAATTTTCCTTATTCTATTCCTGCTTCAACTCAATATTAATTATATTGGAATCGTATAGCTATTCGTTGTAAAAGTAAAACTCAAAAAATTAGAAAATGAATTTGAAGAAAAATTTTATACTTTTTTTTAATACTTTTTATACAAAATTTTATACTTTCAAAAAGTCGGTAAAAAAAGTTGTAAAATTGGAAGTTACCTTAAGTTGAAAAAGAAAAGTGCAACTTATTTTTGGGACTTATTTTGAAAATTATTTATTTCGCAGCGCAGCAATATGTAGTAAGTTTGCAGGAAAGTTGATAGACCGTTATTTTACCTTTCTCATAATAAATAATATTAGCAATATATAGCAAGTTTGCGGGAAAGTTTATATACCGACATTTTACCTTTCTTATAATAAATAATATTAAGTATTATAATTTAGCTTAAGCTAATTTAACATTAAATTAATTCTTAAATATTAAATGATTTTCTGAAAGAATATTTTGCCAAAAGTTATATATGCAAAAGAGAAGTATATTTTGGTTATCTTAAAACGAAAGTGTTGGTATTACTTAAAATATGCAAGAGTTTAAAGCTTAAAAAAGAATAGCTTAAAATTTCCATCAGTTGAAATTTTAAAAAACTAAAATACGACAAGGCTATAGTTTCGTTAGTACATTCATTCGTCAAATCTTTGTTCTTCCTCATTCTTTTCTTATAACTAATATATTTTGAAAATTAGTTTAATAATTTTGCAACGATTTTTCAAAAAAATAATTTTCATCCAAAATTAAAATGATCCATTTTATATTATATATATATATGAGGCAGCCATTATAAATATTGTGATAAAACGATGATTAAAATTAATTAATAAATATGTAATTTGAATTTTAATTAATTGATTATATTTGAAATTATAATTAATTTCAGAAATCTAAAATTATCTTATATATATATATGAGACGGCTGTAATAAATATTGTGATCAAAAAATGATTAAAATTAATTAATAAATATATAAGTCAAATTTTAATTAATTGATTATATTTGAAATTATAATCAATTTCATAAATTTATATTAAACGTATTTATTTATTTATTTATGATCGAATTTATTGAATAGATAACGAACGCCTAATTACAGATTTTTCTTCAACGTTGTTTTAAAAAATAAGAATTTCATTTTTAATACAATAAACAACGAGCAATATGATAATATAAGACCCTAAAGAAGAAGCTAATATCATCATATCCTATAAAATAATATAAATGAAAATTAAAATAACCATAAATAAGGGAATGAAATTTTTATCATTGGCTCTTATTGCTTCATTCGATTGACATCTTCCGCTACTCAATTTCAAATTAAAATGAACAAAAATAATTTTCATTCCGTCACTATATCGCGCTCTCTTCTCAATTCCAATTTATTTCAAAATGCTTTCATGCTTCTCATCATTTCCCTTTTTTTTCAAATGAATTACATTTAGCTGTTCGGAAAACAAATACCAATATCAATTCCTATTCTCATCCTTCGAGATATTTTCACCATTACATATTCCGCCCCTCAAACTTTATGTATGTATATATTTATATGTATGTGTGTATTTGTATGTATCGTAATGTATGTGTATGTATATACATATATTTATGTGTATGTGTGTATGTGTGTATTTGCTTGTATGTATCTTAATGTACATATATATATATATTTATGTGTATTTGTGTATGTATAACTATTAGCTGAGAAAGGCCTATCTTACTTTATCTTAATGTATATGTATGTGTATTTGTGTATGTATGTATTTGCGTGTATGCATGTTAATGTATGTGTATAAATATATACTTATGTGCATGTGTGTATGTGTGTATATGTGTATTTGCGTGTATATATCTTAATGTAGGTGTATGAATATATACTTATGTGTATGTGTGTATTTGTATATGGGTGCGTATCTATGTGTAACTATTAGCTACGAAAGGCCTATCTTGTAGAATAAATATAAAACTTAGTGTGAAAGAACTGTAATTTTATATATGTATGTATGTGTGTGTGTGTGTGTGTGTGTGTGTAAGTATTAGTTACGAAAGGCCTATCTTACTTGTAGGATAGATAATAACTTAAGACTACTATCTTAAGAAAGAACTACAACTGCTATATTTTTACTACTTTTCCTCCAATAATTCGATCATTTCGCTATCACTACTTTTCCCCGAGTATTCTCATATCTAAAAGATTTCTCAAATAACCTCAAATATTAATGCATCAATGATTGTTACTGGAAAACCTTTTTTTCATCATCATTATTATATCATATCACTATAATTAAATTCTCAATTTAAAATTTCAAATTAATCCATTTTTTTTCAGTTTAAAATTTTAAAAAATTTTTAATGCAGAAATGAAAGAATCGAAAATAATAATGTAAAAGAAAGAAAGTAAAAAAAGAGAGTACAGAGTGGTTTATATATTCAGTGAAAACGGATAGGAAAGAGGAAAATATGATTGAAATTGAAATTGAAGCATGCATAAAGCGGTTGTCTAGTTTCGAGTGAAAAGATTCATGCAAAAGAAAATATTACCAACTTTCCTTTCTTCGCTCTTCCAGTTAAATTACTGAAAATTCTATCCCTTCCACTTTGTCAAGAACCAACCAACCAGCAAGCAATTTAACTCATTTGCAAAAGATTCTCATTCTGAAATTATATTTTCTTATTCTCATATTTCCTTATCCGGTTTTCATTCCGTATCTTCTATAGACGTGTTTATTTCTTCATTCAACTGTATCATTCATTCATTTTTCAATATTTCATTAATCATCGCATGATCTATTTTATATCTTATTAGGTAATTAGCATTTATCGATTAAATGTATAAATCGTACGGATCTCATCGTACGGATCGTACGGATATCATCATTGATCGATTATTTATTTGCAAATATTGCGCGTATTTGGTTAAACAAAAAAAACTAGAAAATTAATAATGAATAATGAACAAAAAAATAAAATTAATAATGAATTGGAATAAAACAATAAAGTGATATTAATCATACTTTGTTGAATATTCATCGTGAAACGAAAAAAAGTCGTTGAATTAATTTATAAAGCTAAATTCTTAATTTTTTTTAAAAAGGGAAAATATTTTTTTCAGTGTTGAAAAATATAGGAAGTAATTAGATTTGGTTATGACAACTTTCAACGGAATTGCTCACATCAAAGTTATAGAAGCTCGTGACCTACGACCTACCGAATGGTCAAAAAGGTAGATGTAATAAATGAATGCTTTGTTTTATGTTTCTAAATTCAAATGCATATTGAAAAAATGAAATGATCTCATCATTTTGGCTTATAATATAGACCTATCAAAGCACTACAAAGAACTTCGATTACCCTAATTCTTCTCTCAAAACTTTAGAGATGAAAGATGATCTTATCAAATCTTTTAATCTTGTTTGATTTACATAATTACTTAAATAGCGATAACAGTAAAAATGTTATCTTGATAAGTTTTCATATCACTTAAAAAGTCTTTCTACAGATTTAAAATCAATTCTAAAGAGACAGAATTATTGGATGCGTATGTAAATATTGATTGTGATGAGAATCATATCGGCGAAACATTAACACGTCCAAAAACTTGCATGCCTATTTGGAATGAAGATTATGAGGTTTTATTTAATTTGAATTTCTATTTAAATTATCCCATTAATTTGAAATACTAAATAATCAATAATTTAAATTTACTTATAATACGATATAGATTACTTTTACTTTTATAGACTGAGGTTCATGATGGTCATGAGCTTGAATTTACCGTGTTTCATGATTGCGCCTTACCGACTGATGATTTTGTGGCAAATTGTCGCATACAATTTGAAGATTTGAAAATTGGAACAAAGAATGATGTTTGGGTATGAACTATAAATGAACTCTTTATCGAATTGATTATGCTTGAAATTGAATTGAAAGGAATATCTTCCAAGAAATTTAAATTAAAAAATTAAATTAGAAATTTAAATTTTGCACCAAATCATGTGGTATCTTCTCTAGATTGATTTGGAGCCACACGGAAAACTTCATTTGCTTATTGAATTGAAAGGTTCATTAAGTGAAGGTTAGCATAAATTTTTCTTAACTTAAAATTTTCTAAATTATCAAAATAAATTTATTAATTTTAAGAGTTTTAATTAATTCTCTGAATCTACAAAAATGAAAATGAATTTGTTGAAGTAAAATATAGCAAAGGATTCAAAGGAATTCTATTTTTCTTTGTTGTAAAAATTTATTGTTGCATTTTTACTGCAAAATTACGGTTATTTTAGAGGCAGCTCAAAATAATGCTAATAAGAAAGAGCGAGTTTTTCGGGAACGTATCGATGCATTCAGCGGTCGACAACGTCGAGGTGCAATGCGCCGGAAAATTCATGAAGTTTTTAATTGTTCTTTTACTATGTGGTAGCTAATTCATTTAACAGTTCATTTGCAATGTCGTAGCTAATTTATTTCAATAAGGATTACTATGTGGTAGCTAATTCATTTAACAGTTCATTTACAATATGATAGCTAATTAATTAAACAAGCATAATTTTGCAACTTTTTCCTAACTTCTATTTACTACTATTTTATTCGCTTTTATTTTAGATGGTGTAAGTTTTAATAAACAACAAAAAAAGAGTATCTTCAAGAGTATTCTCTAAAAACTATTGCTATTAAGGTTACGGGACATAAATTTATGGCCTTATTTTTACGACAGCCAACTTTTTGTGCCCATTGTAAAGATTTTATTTGGGGACTTGGCAAACAAGGCTATCAATGTCAAAGTAAGTTAACGTTTTGTATTTTAAGTTAAAAATTTAACTGAAATATTATTAAGAAGAAATCAAAATTATAATTCATTCAAATTTCTTTTATTATTTTAATAAGAATTTTAATATATTTTTTGAATTGTAATATGTAAATATAGATATCCAGAAATTATTATTTTAAACTCAAAAATTTGAATAAATATTCTGATCAAATAGAACAAATAAAAAGAAGGCATGGTAAATTTTAATACGATTGTTGTCAACTATTTATTACGAAGTACTGAAATTTAAATTTCATTTTGGAATTTCTTAAATGCTAATTTTAAATTTGGTTATAATTATCACATACTTGTTAAGAAGATTTGAATATTTGAAAGAAGAAATGAGTTCATTTCATTTTTAGGAAAAATTTCCCCTTATCACTGTATATAAAATTCTCCCTTATATCCCTTATCACTATGCATAAAATTAAATTGAAATTGAAATTTATTTTCAAATTAATTAATTTCAAATTAATTTTTACACATTTTACAGATGGTTATATTTTCTAGAAATTTTGCAAAAATTTCAAATCAACAAAAAAGATAAATAAAATTTGCTGATATATTAAAAATGATTTCTTTAAAGTATGTACGGTAGTTGTACACAAACGATGTCATGAAAAGGTAATATGGAAATGTCCTGGAATTCGTACCAGCGCTATTGATGAATTGCAAACTGAAGCAACAAAGGTAAACCTTTTTTTTTACTTCATTATTTCTTTGTATTAAAACAAAAAGAAATTTTTTTGAAATATATATATCGGGTGATTTTTTTATTGTTTTAAATACAATGGAAAATTATCGGTTAATACCTAAATTTACTTTATCATTAAAAAGGCGTTGAATTGTTAGCTTTTCATTCTCAAATTCTCAAAAAACAATCATTTAAAAATAAAATTACTACTAGCAATTAATTACTGATCGTTAATTAAATTAAAATATTAAAATTTAATTATGAATTTTTTAATAGTTTAATATTAAAATTCAACAATTATAATTCAATAAACGATGAAGTGAATTTCGTTCAGCCATTCATTTTTTAAATTTAATTAATAAAGGGTGTAATAAAAATAAATAAAGCAATTTTCCGCTATCATTAACCATCTGTCTGATATACTCTTCTCAGTGAATTTAGGTAAACTTTATAAATTTAATTGATTGATTTGGTATATATTTTTTTTTTAATTGAAATTATCATCCCTAAAAAATAAGCCAACTAAATGATATTACAAAAAATTAATCTATTATTTTACATAATTATTTCTTAATTTTTTACGCAATTAATTCTTAATCATTAAAATGGATGCTTCTTTGTCTTTTTTGTGTAATTTAAAAATTCGAATGAATTTTCATTAGACTAATAATTCTTTAAGTTTGCTAACTGTTCCGAATTTCTTACGAATTTTCTACGATATCAGAAATGTGATTATCAGAAAGAAAGAGAATAAATGGAATGTTTTCTAAATTAAATTAACGACAAATTCTTGCACTCTTTTGTTTTAACTAATTCTTATTTCATTTTACTTCCTACAAAGTAAATTTAAGTTTATATTAAGTATAATATTATTCTTATAAGGTAAGTAAATTTAAGTTAATATTAAATATAATAGTAATTTTTGTTTTAAATCTTATCTCATTTTACTTCTTATAAATTAAGTAAATTTAAGTTAACAATTAAGCATAATATTATTCTTATAAAGTAAATTTAAATTAATATTAAGTATAGTATTAATTCTGTTTTAAATAATTCTCATTTCACTTTACTTCTTGTAAAGTAAGTAAATTTAAGTTAATAATTAAGTATAATATTATTCTTATAAAGTAAATTTAAATTAATATTAAGTATAGCATTAATTTCAGTTTTAAATAATTCTGATTTCGTTTTACTTCATATAAAGTACAATATTAAATTTAAATTAATATTAGCTATAATATTATTCTTATAAATATAATATTATTCTTATAAAGTAAGTAAATTTAAATTAATATTAAGTATAGTATTAATTTTTGTTTTAAATAATTCTGATTTCATTTTACTTCATATAAAGTACAATATTAAATTTACTTCTTATAAGGCAAATAAATTTAAGTTAATATTAAGTATTGAATTTAATATTTAAGTTAATATAAGTTAGCATTTTTTTCATTAAAATACTTTCGAAGAGATGTTTTCTTCGATTGCAAGAAAATTGAAAATTTATTTTAGCATTCCATTTCTTTAATATTTGCATAGTTTTTAATATTTGGCATGGATTTTGAAAATCATTCTTAAATTGAAATTAATTCTTACATTCAAATTTAACTATGTATTTTTGATATGTAAAATTGCGATTATTTTTGGATAAGAAATTTCTTTCCTTTTTTCTTTAATTAATTACCTTTTAGCAAAGTCTTGGCCGATTTAATATTAACATACCACATCGTTTCACTGTTCGCAGTTATAAGCGGCCAACATTTTGCGATCATTGTGGCTCAATGCTTTATGGCCTAATCAATCAAGGATTACAGTGTTCGGTTTGTAAACGTAATATACATAAACGGTTTGTAAAATTTGAAATTTTAATTCTTTTAAATTCCCTTTCTCTTTGGCTGATTAGTTTGATTGATGACGGAATTCTTCCTTTTTGTTTAATCCACCTGATTTGTTGCAAAAAATATCTCTTCTATTCATTTTTATTTTAGCTAACTTATATGGCAATAATTATATTCTAGTTTATATGAACTGTAACATTAGCTGCAAATGATCGTAACTTGTCCTATTACCAGAAATTACCAATTATTCGAAATGGGATCCATTAAGGTTACCTTGAAGAAATATTCGCGGTTATTGAAATAAGAATGAAAAAGATGAAAGATAGCGCCATAATATAGATGTTTCTATATGCTTAAAATTTGCAGAATTTACAGATCTATGCTTAAAGCTTACAAATTTCTATGCCTAAAACTTAGCTAAAGCTTACAAGTTTCTATGCTCAAAATTTACCTAAACTTTGTATCTATCTTACTCATTTTCCTCTCTAATTCAACTCAACAAATGAATTAATTAATTGCACCAGTTAATTTCAAACAAATTATTTGCGCTTTAATTTTTTTTCTTTTTAAATAATAAGAAATTTCATAATTAATTAACCGTTTGATTAAGTATTGTTAATTACTGCCGCATTAATTACGTGAAGCAGTAATGCAAACAATCAAATTCTCTTAATTAGAGCTGTATCTTTGTTAACTATTACTAAATTTCTTTCTTTATCATCCTATCAATCTGTTCTCTTTCGAATTTATTAAATAATTAATAACAAAAAAAATTATGTGAAGTTTATAAGGCATTAAAAATGATTCGAAATTATTGCATAATATTTAAAACACTAATTAATAAATTACTTTTGTTCTTGTCATTTCATATCAGTTTTTATCATTCAGTAATCAATTTTTCATCTCTAACATTTATTCTTATCAAAAAATGACTCATAATTTATTATATTTTTTTTGAAGCTATCGCTAAATTAAAAGAAATTTATTATAAATTTTTAATTATATTCAATTTACTTCCTTTAATTTAAAGGTAACCATAAAATTAATTTTGCAAATTTATTCATTTAATATACGACCAACAGGTATGATTGCATTTCCATATAGGTATAATAAAATCTCAGATGATTCTGTTGCAATTATCAACTTAATTAATCAGGTGATTTTTTTGCAGTTGCCAACGTAATGTCGCCAATAATTGTGGTATCAATTCTAAGCAAATGGCATTAGAACTTGCCCAACTTGGTTTAACCGGTGATAAAATGTCAATTCGATGTAAGAAAAAGGTGTGCAATTAATTTTAATATCCTCTTCGTTTGTTTTATTTCATATCATTTTGCTGATGCCGGAAGTTAATCAGATGTTGAAGATTTTCCGATTTGAAATTTCCACATATTACATATCAACTCGATTTCCTCTTTTTGTCTTTTCTCCAACTTCGCCTTCTCTTTTCTCTCTCTTTGTTTTGTTGAAAAGTTATTTTATAAATTCTTAAATCCATAATTTAAATTCAAAAATGAAATTTTAACCTTAAGCTTAAAATTCTGTTGAACTATGCAAATGCAATGATAACTTTATCAATGATATCTTTGTATCATTATTCATACACACACTCTTATCAGTGTACATTCATTCATCTTTATCACATCATATTAATCTCCTCTTACACCTTACCTTATTACATCACATCAGCCTTTAAAGCATAATACAATTTTGTATTGTTTGGAATAAAAAGAGAGAGAAAGAGAGAGAGAGAGAGAGAGAAGAGAAGAGTGAAGGAAGGAGAGAGAAAAGAAACAAATATAAAAATAATTTATTTATTTATTAATGATATGATTACAATAATTTACTTCGTTTCAAATTACTTTAATTTAATATGTCGAAATTTGGATTTAATTTTCTCCCACTCTATCCGTCCTTCCTTTTATTTTTTCTTCCTTTCCATCATATCAATAATTAATTACTCATTAAACAAAAAGAATGTATCAGTAATTAATTACTCATTAAACAAAAAGAATGTATCAGTAATTAATTACTCTTTAAGCAATTATACAAAAAGAAAAAATTCTCACGTCATTCTAAATTATGTAAAAATAACAAATTGTTATTATATAATTTAGAATGACGTGAGAATGGCATGAGAAAAATGACGTGAAATTTCTTTGTTTGTAATTTGTCAATAATTAATTACTGTCTAAACTAAAAAAAAGAAATTCTCACATCATTCTAAATTTATAACAAGTTATTGAAGCGTTTAAATTAAATTCTAATTTCTACGTGTTATGTAATTATTCATATAAAAAATAATATTTTAAGCCTAGGTTTGAAAAAAATGATAAAATTGATATTTGAAGTTAAGTTTTAAAAGGTGAAAAAATTGACATTTAAGGTTTAAGTTTAGAAAATGATAAAATTGATATTTAAGGTCTAAGTTTTAAAAATGATAAAGTTGATATTTAAGGTCTAAGTTTTAAAAATGATAAAGTTGATATTTAAAAATAAAATTTTAAAATTAATCAATAAAATACTTTTAGCAAATAAAATTGTTAGGCTTTGAATTAGCTTTCATAGAAAAGTATTATTGAAAATTTTTCATTTAATATTTTCAATCTAATTTAAAATTTAATTTTAGCTTAATCTAATTTAAAATTTAATCTTAATTTAATTTAATTTTAGCCATCGGTAATGTCTGAAGATATTTGTGATAAGACAGATGTACTATTAGCAGGAAAAACAACAGTGCCAGCTACTACTTCTTCAATGACTCAAATGATTTTCAAATCTGACATTGGCAAGTTTTATTCATTATTTTTTTCATTCAAATTTTATCGATATCATCACTGTCATAATATGCATTGATAAAATTTTACCCTATTGCTAATTTTATAATATCTAGCTCTTTCTATCAATTATCATTATAGTTATCATTCTATTTCAAATTCGATGAGCTAAATAGGCTCTCTTATCAATAAATATCATACATTATAATATCATAATATGTATCATAGATTTGCCTAAATTTATCAGTTTTCTGTTTTGAATGGTATAACTATATTCATATATGAAATCATTTTAAAATCATCTTTTTCTCTTCCAAAAATTTTATGTATTTTAAAAAAGTTTTCTTATCATATTTTTGCCTTATCTTATCTTATCTTATCTTATCAAATTTTATTTTCATTCAAAAAAGTGAAGTTTTCGGAAATAAATAAATTACTAGAAAAATAATTATTATGTCAATTTTGTAAAATAAAATTGTAGAAAAAGATGAATTATTGGAAACGGAAATTAATGATGAGAATTCAAGTGATAAATCGGTTATTGCGGTAAAACCAACCGCTATAACTATCAATGATTTTGTTTTTATCAAAGTTCTCGGGAAAGGATCATTTGGAAAGGTTTGTTAATAAAATTTACAAAAAAAATTTTTTCATTTATAGTTTAAAAAATAGAAAAGATTCACGGACAATAGTTTCTAGGATATATGTTTTTATATAAATGATAATATAATTTTATTCTTAATTTCTTGCAGTTATTTTTTAGTTGGATCTAATGTTTTTTAATAGGATATCATTATTATAGAAATGATTAAATGATAGATTATCATAATCATAGAAGTTATCATGATAATAATTGTAGGATTAATTAATTATATTTGAAGTAGTAATATAATTCAAATGTTGATATCAAATGTAATTAATTGCTCTCTTGATTATCGAACAATCTATTCCGCTAATTGTAATTCAATTATCGTTTTTTTTGCGGAGTTTTTTCCATCAATTAACTTTTTGAGCTTTACTAACCTTTTAACCTTTTTTTAACCTTTTTGAACCTTAACAGGAATGATTGAATATGTCATTCGTACATTTCTTAGGTAATGCTAGCGGAGCATAAACGAACCGATGAAGTTTATGCGGTGAAAATACTGAAGAAAGATGTGATATTGCAAGATGATGATGTTGATTGTACAATGTGCGAAAAAAGGATATTAGCTTTAGCAGCAAAGCATCCATTTCTGACAGCCATACATTCTTGCTTTCAAACTGTGGTATGTTTCAGTCTGAAATAAAATTTATCAATTTATCAACAATTTATCACTTAACTTTTATTTATTTCCATTTTATCGAACATCTAAGTAAATACGCTGTGATACGTTTGTACTCAAATAAAATTTATCAATTTATCAACAATTTATCACTTCTATTTATTTCCATTTTGTTAATCATCCCAAAATTGTTAATTGTTAAATTGAAATTTTGAAATGAAAATTATTTAAAGTATTAAATTAATTAAAAGAAAGAGGAAATTAGTTGGCAGAGATGCAAAAAAAAACAAAATTATTCCCCATAAACTTTAAACTTCAAATTATTCCCCGCAATATTTTAATAAATTTCAATTCAATCTTATTTTTGTCATCTGTAATTTTGTCATCATAATTTTGCATCATCATGATTTTGTTGTTGATTTCTTCATCTTGCATCATCTTGATCTTGATTTTTGATTTTGACTTTAATCTTGAATTTTGCATCATCTTAATTTCATCATCTTGATTTTGCATCATCTTGATCTTGATTTTTGATTTTGACTTTAATCTTGAATTTTGCATCATCTTAATTTCATCATCTTGATTTTGCATCATCATGATAATTTTATCATCATATTTTATATTAATTCATTTACTGATTCTTTTTTCTAAACTTTTTCAGGATCGGTTATTTTTTGTTATGGAATTTGTAAATGGTGGTGATTTAATGTTTCAAATACAAAGGGCACGAAAATTTGATGAACCATGCGCTCGTTTTTATTCTGCCGAAGTTACCTGTGCATTACAATTCTTGCATCGTAATGCTGTCATTTATCGGTTAGCTGATTTATTTATTTATTTGATGAGTATATATGTTTTTCTAAATTAACTATTTCTAAATTTTTATTAATAAACATTACAATTACATATTATATATTATAGTATTATAGATTATATATTATAGTATTTGATGAAATTAACGGTCACAAAATTATTTATTAGTACTAATTAATTTTATTTTGAACTAATTCAATTTATCACTATTTTTCGCAATTTGCACTAATTCATCTATTAATTAATTTTGGTATATAACATTTGATCCATTTTGGTATATAACATTTGATTTGACCCATAGTTGTAGAATTATTTATTAATTGTAATTAATTTATTCGAATCCAATTTAATAAATTTTCCATATTTGCATCAGTTCATCCGTTAATTTATTTGAATCAATTCGTAATTTATCACATTTTCTGTATTTTCAACAATTAATTAATTAATTTTTGATATGATTAACAATTAATTAATTAATTTTTTGATATGATTAGATGAAAATCTTTATCATTTCTTGTAATAATTAAAAATAATTTTTTTTTTTTTAAAGTGATCTTAAACTCGATAATATATTGCTGGATGCTGAAGGACACTGCCGTTTAGCAGATTTTGGAATGTGTAAAGAAGGCATTACGAATTCTAAACTTACTTCAACATTTTGTGGTACACCAGATTATATTGCACCAGAGGTGAATGATTCGTTAGTTAATTAAATGATAATAATCATTTGGGTAAGTTTATTAATTAACAATAAATTTTTAGTACTTCAATATTTCTTACTGATTTTTTTTTAATACTAAGTTATCAGAGATGTATTCTTTATTAAATGTTAATTTATGTTGAATTAAATGCTAATTTACAAATTATAAGAACAAAAGGTAAAAATTTAAATTTTTGCAAAATTTATTTCGATAAATTTGATACATTTTGTTATCAGTTATCAATTTAAATTTTGATATCAATTATCAATTTGATAACAGTTATACATTTTGATATCAGTTATGCATGATTTTATCACTTATGATTTCAAAAATTAAAAACAACATACAATTGTTTAGATATTGGAAGAAATGGAATATGGTATGTCGGTAGATTGGTGGGCATTAGGTGTTTTTATGTATGAAATGATGGCTGGACAACCACCATTTGAAGCTGATAATGAAGATGAACTCTTTGAAGCTATCTTACACGATGATGTCCTCTATCCTGTATGGCTTTCCAAGGAAGCAGTGAATATTTTAAAAGCGGTAATTTTAATTTCAAAGCATTAATTTTATTTTATGAAAAATTGGTATCAAAAATGATAGATATCAATATTATCAAATGATATGTATCACATTGTTATATGCAATCTTATCAATTAATTAGATCTTAATAAAAACATATTAACATTGATAATATATTTTAATATGCGATATATAATTTACTCCTAATAAACATTACATAATACATCATCGATCGTAAATTCATTCATTAAAACAAATACTATCGCTATGATCAAATTTAACATTGAAAATTATCATTGCATAAATTTGTTGAAAATAATATGATTGCATTAGCTTTATCACTTTTTTTCTATTAAATTACAGGCAAATATTTTTTATATAGTTAATGAGGAAAAATTATAGTTAATGACGAAAAATCCATTGAAACGATTAGGTTGCATACAATCACAAGGCGGTGAAGATGCAATTCGTGCGCATCCATTCTTCTGGGATATCGACTGGGAAGCATTGGAGGCACGTCGTGTAAAACCACCTTTTAAGCCTAAAATTGTAAGCTTAATTTATTTACTTTATTTTAATAACAATGAGATTAAGTGCTGTAAATTTCTCGCTAAAAGTTGCATTAATAGGAACTTTTCCGTTTTCTATTCGTTCCGTTTTCTATTCTTTCCGTTTTCTAATCTTTCCGTTTTCCATTTTTTAAAAAATGATATCTTATATTTTACTTCAGTTTATTAAAAGTTAGCAAGAATTTTTGTTGGTAATTCAAATGTCTTTTAGAAATCAAAACGTGATACAAGTAATTTCGATGCTGACTTCACAAAGGAAGAACCGGTGCTTACACCAACAGAACCGGCTATTCTCAGGACAATAAATCAAGAGGAATTTCGTAATTTCTCATTTGTAAATCCTGATTTCCGGCTTAATCATTAATTATTCCATCTATCGTTTGAAAAAAAAATTAAATAATCATCGTTAATTAGCGCTAATTAAATTAATTTTTTATTAATAAATTTTATTTGTTAATTTTTTTTAAAAATTGACGATGAAAATTAATTTTTGCTAATTAATTTTTTTAAAAATTGCTAATTAGACGATGAAATCAACGTCTCCTTTTTTCTTTGAAATTTCTTATTAATTAACATAATTTTATGCTTCTTAGAGTTGTAGTATCATATTTAGTCATTGTGCCTCAAAAACAAATTGATTAAGCCAATAATATAATTATTTTTAGATTTCAAAATTTAATTACGGAATGATTTGATGTATTGTATTCCTAGAAAAACTATTAAATTTATTTGTTTTAAGGCAAAATTAGTAATTAATTGCTGAAATGTTATTAGTCTGAAATTATTTCAAATTTTGAAAATGTTTTTTTAATATCATTTAAATATGAAATTTGTCCTTAAATAAAACTGAATTCAAATTCCGGAATTCCTTTAATCCAAATATTTTGAATAAAAGAATATCCTATAAATTTTGCTTCAAATTTAAATTCTAACCTTTTGTTTTTTAATTCAAAATTCATAATGAAATAATTTTGATAATAATTAATAATTAAAATAATAAGCGATTGTATATTTGAATTCTGCCATTTAAATTTTCCTTTTTTACTAATCTAATTTCTATCTCTTCTTAAGGCATTCCCATTTATCAAAATGATCTCATTTATGCTTTTGATGAAGTATGTCAATTTCACATGTATATTTTAAATTTCACATATATCCATTTCAGAAGTATTTAGTAATTTCGTGTTCTTTCTGTTAGTCCATTTTCTTATCCGGTATTTTCTTTTGTTTTTCTTTTTTTCTAATTTAAAAACGATAAATTAACCGGTTCATATATGAATACGCGTTTCTTCGTATCTTTCTTTCTTGCCTTATGGCCTAAAACTATTATGTTATATAATTCCGGTGGCCTAATCTATTATATTTATGTAATTCTAAATCAATTCTTTTCCTGTTTGAATAATAATTAATAAATTTTGATTTTTCTTCAAAAACAAAAACTTTTCATTTTTGCTTTTTGTTTTAAATAAAACCAAAAAAATTTATTTGTAAATAATTATTTATATAATTAATGACACATCAGTAATGTATTTTAGTTAATGATAAGGGTTGAAGTTTAAATTGATAATAATGTATTTTAGATAATGATAAGGGTTGAAGTTTAAATTATTAATAATGTATTTTAGTTAATGATTACGGGTAGCTATAATTTTACCAAAGAAGTGAAATGAAATGAAATTAAATTAGCTATCTTTTACTAATGAAAAGTTAATACATTGTTATCCTCATTTTGAACTTATCAAATTAAGTATTTGATTTATAATTTTAATCCGATATTTTAAGTACAATGTGAGCTTATTTTCCTTTCTTCCCTAATTTAGAGCTTATTCGTCGTTTGATATTAATCTATTCAATTATTATGCTGTGCAATCTTTAACATTACAAAAAATGCTGGTAATATTGAATTGATCGTAATAAGTTATTGATTACTTTTTAAGTATTCATGTAATAATTTTTAACTAAACAATTTGATTTCCAATTTTTGTAATTTCCTACTAAACTCTACAATTTATGTATTTTTAAACAAGTTATGTTAATTATTGTATAATTCCAATGTTGGCCAATATTGTTTTAATTGTATGAATAATTTCGGTTACTTTTTAAAATAAAATTATTCAGTAAAAACGTATTGGATTATTTGGATACAATATGATATGATGAAGTAAGTATGTTTTGCATTGATAATTATTTATTGTTCTTTAATTAACAAATTCAGGAACAGCTTCTGTTGTAATTTTCAGAGCGCCCATTCAAAAGATATATATATATAAACATGTGTATATTATGCTTTTATTTATTTGTTTGTTTATTTATTTTATGCATTTATTTATTTGCTTTTTTATTTTTATTTACTTATTTATTTTTATGTATTCATTTGTTTATTTATTTATTTTTATTTACTTATTTATTTTCATGTATTTATGCGTGTATTTATTTGTTTATTTATTTTTATTTATTTATATATTTATATAATTATTTATTTATTTATTTATGTAGGTAGAAATATCTCGGGAAACAAAGTTAAAAGACAAGATTGCTTATCAAGTATTATAATAGTGATTTAAAATATCGATGTTGACAATGTTATAGTTTTCCTGGACATTGATGAATTAAACAAATTGTTTATTTTGCAAAAATTTGTTTATTTGGTGATGATTAATCTTCAAAATTTATTTGATGGTAATTAATCTTCAGAATTAAAAAAAATTTTACGCCTAAAAACTTCATTAGTAATTTTTTCTCAATGCTTTCAAAGGCGCAAATTGGCAAGCGATGGCTAAAACTGGTAAGGAAAAGAGGAAAATGTATGATTGAAAATTGAAGAATATAAATATTTGAATTGAAGAAATGAATATCATAATTATAAAATGAATATAAGTATTTGAATTGACGAAATGAAAATTATAATTATGAAATGAATATAAATATTTCAATTGAAGAAATGGATATCATAATTATGAAATGATTATAAACGTTTGACTTGAAGAAATGAATATCATAATTATAAAATTGTTCGAAGCAAATAGAATAAAATTCAACTTTAAAATATGTACCCTTAATTAAAAATAATTTTAAGAGAAAAGATTATTAAACATAATAGTCTTTCTAGATTGGTACTTGTTTATGTATCAATGGATCATTTTGATTATATTGCGTTATTTTAATTGGCTCTTCGATCAATATCTGAAAAAGTGTTATGATATGATATGATATTTCATTCCTGCATATCTTTCAATTATAGCGGTAGTTTAAAAAATAGGCCAGAAATTCGCATTAAAATTATTTCATAAAAATTATGAAATAGAATTTTTGAGATAAAAAAATTGCAAGAAATTAAAAATTATTACATAATATTATTTATTATAATTAAATTTCTTGTAAATTAATTAAATTAATTTTTTTATATTTCTAATTCCTATCTTTAATAAGTTTGAAATAAGCTTAAGTTTAAAATTTCTAATTTCTACTTCAAATTTTTGTTTCAAACTTGTTTTTTCAAATATTAATTCTTAGCATGGGAAGGATAAAAAATACCTTTAGAATCCTACCTTGCCTAATTTCCGTATCCGTTTAGAAATTAATTCTTCATTGCTTATTTCATCATTTAAATTCACCATTGATCGAATTGTATTACTGAAGATTACTTCAGTAGTGAAAAAAATTTCATCGCGAGATTTCAAATAATCCAATGGTGCATATGGATCCATTAGAATTCTTAATTTTAAAATATTTCAAATAATAATTAATTAAAAAGAAAACAATAAGAAGTAAAATGGAAAGCAAATAATGAAGAAGGAATGCTTTAAATATTAGCGTTCATTTTTACCGATTATATATTATGATAATTTCTTATATTTTTGCAACGATTGTTCACCTAATTTCGGGCATCTTAACAAGTTTACGTTGACCAGATTGAACTTCAAGCAATACTTCTGAATCCATCGGTAAATCTTCATCACTTATATCTTCTCTATTATTTTTGCTATCCTAAAAAATAATGAATGTATCAGGATGCAAAATAAGTATTAAAATAAATTTTCAAATTATAATACTTGGCAAAATAGATTTTAGGATACTAAAATTATTTCATAATTCGAAATTCAAATTTTAGCAAACCTTTTGTATTTTGCTAAGCTTATTCCAAAATGGTAGACCATCTTCGTCAAATAGCTTTCCTTCGTTGTCTTTGTTTGATACTGTTGAAATTGATTTCTAAAATTTGAAAACAATCAATTTTTTATATTTCAATTTTGAAATCTGTCATAAGCCTTTTTTCTGCTTGGGAAATGATAATGAAATTATTATGAGTAACTCAATTGTAGGTAAAGCTTCATTAAATCATTAATTTAGATTGCTGAATATTTTCTTTTCTTGCTTATAAAATTTATCTTCTTATTTACATTTCAACAATTTAGAAATTTCATATGATATATTGATATTATTAAATGAACCTTTAGTGGTGTAATTTTATCACTCTTATCTTTCATTTCAATTTCATATCTGAAATCATTTCTCAATATGCAATTTAAAACAACCTTTAATCTATTCTAATTTATCAAAAATTTATGTCTCAAAACCTTTAAAATAAGTAGTTGAATTTTTCGTTCGGCTGATTATCAGATATTCTAACCAACAAATGATTTATTTATGAGATAGTTGTTTTGCTATCAATTTTTATCAGTACATTTTGATCTTTGACATGAATAATAACTAAATCTGTAATGTCTTTCAATATCAGAAGCAAAAATAGTTTCATATATCAGCTGTTTGAGATTTATCATTAAAATCATTGCAAAAAATGAGATACCTTTCAATTTCACGCTTAGATGGAAATTTTTCATCTGCACTTCGCAATAGTATTTCTGGTACTTCCTAGAAAATGGAAAAGAAAATTGTGTCACAAAATTTTTTCTTAATTTTGGATGAAAATAAATTTAAAAAAATAATTTATACATCAATTGATTAGCACCGGTTATTGATTAGCATGATCATTGATTGACATGACTATTGATTAGTATGATCATTGATTAGCGCGAACATTGATAGGCATGATCATTGATGAGTATGATTATTGATTAGCATAATCATTGATTAGTATAATTAGCATAATCTTTCATCACTTTACTGACCTTTCACATTTTAGCAAAGAAAAATTAAAAATGTTTCGAAAAATTAAAAGAAATCGAGATGTATTACAATTTCTTCCTTCTTCCAATGAATATAATTTAATTTTAAAAAAGAAGAAAAATTGAATTATCTCTTTAAAAGTATTTCCTTTCCGTATTTCATTCCGTTTTTTAATTTTTTCAACAAATTTTTGCACTGTTGCATCAGTCAGAGGTCGGCTAAAGAATGCTGTCATCCGTTTTCGAACATCTGAAGATAGTATTTTGTATAATTAATTAAATTAATAAATAACGTATAAAATTGAAATTAGATTTGCCTAAAATTTTTTGCAGAATCAAATTTCACAGAATCAGAATGAGGAATCAAAATTTAAAGATAATCATTTCCTCTTTGATCATGACAGCATATATCAATTTAATAATCTTTATTAGGGTAAAAAAACTTTTAAAACAAGAAATTATTTACTTCTAAGGCTTTGCCGACTTGATGAAGATGGTGACCATGCCGGAATTTTAGTCAATGATTGAAATGTTTTACGTAAACTTCTGTAAATGCTAACGATAAGATGTATAGCTTAATATTTAGAATAACAATGATAGCGATAAGATGTATAGTTTTACGCAAACTTTTGTAAATGATAGCGGTAAGATGTGTGGCATAAATTTCAGAAAAATTCAACTTCAACTTTTACTGTAAAAATTCAAAAAAAAACAGAGCAATACTAATTTATTAACTACCAAAAATTGACAGTTAATTTTGTTTGACAAAAATTTCAATAGTGTTGATTAGATGCTGGATGGAAAATTTCCATTAATGCAATAAATAAATTTTAATTAATGTCAACAGTGCTGATTGGTGCTGTCAACAGTGAACAGCGCTGAATTTCCATCCATCATCAAATCAGCATTATTGAAATTTTATAAATAGGAAAATTTGAAAGGAGACAAAATGAAGTGAAATAAAGAAATGAAATATAGGAAAATAATTGAAAGTTAAAAATTGATTTGATGATTATTTGATAAGAGGATGAAAAATGGAATATGTATGCTACGTGGTGATATCAATGAAATTTTTTTGAATCTTTTTAAATAAGCAAAGTATAAATGCAATAAATTTAAATAACATACTTGACTGCTATATTTTCATTTTGTTTACTTTGATATTTTTTGATCTTAACATCTGTTTTCCTATGAATCGTTGGATAACTGATCGTGGAATGAACTTTTGTTTGCGTTTTTGTTGATTTATGTGATTTAGTTTTGGTGACATTATTCCGCATTCCAATTTTTCTACACCAATTACTTTCTTATTCAATTAGAATTTTGAAAAGCTTGTAAGGTTGTCAAAATTTGATTTCAAAAATTATCCACAAAAAAATCTTATCAAAATCATCATGATCATACTACATTCTATTTATAATCAATTCAGATTTACCATCATTATCATTATCAATAAGTGTATCACCTCTATTCACTTCTCTAATAGTTCGCAAAGACAAATAAGTAATTTAAGGTAATGAAAAATATTCTTTCTATTTTATCAATCGACAAATTTTTCATTTTATAAAAGTAATACTTGTGAAACATTTGGCCTAATGTTTATTAGGCTTTAACGCTAATGTATCTAACGTATCTTATCTTGACGTATCTCTAATTTGATTTAAAAAATAATCATTATTTATCTGTAATTCGATTAAAAATCATCATCATCTATCTGTAACTATTAGAATTGTAAATAGCAAACTGCTTAGTTAATGAATTATACTCAAATACATAAATGAAATGAAATGAAAAAACAATTTGCTAAATTGTAAAACCTTTGTTGCTTCGCTGATTTTGACATTGTTGTACAAATTTTATTTGACTTTCGTTTAATTCTTTCTAAAAGAAAAAATGTTAAATTTTATATTTTGAAATTAAAATAATTAAACTAAATAATCAAATACTAAAATTAATTACCAGAAAGGAAATGAAACTAAAATAATAATAATTTAATTACAATAAAAAAAAGGTGAAATAATTTTTAGAAATAATTTTAAATGCAGAAAAAAAAGTAATTTTAAAATATTACCATACCTGTTTTACCTGAAATTTTTTTCTCTTTTTCACTTCGTTTCTCATCTCTCCTTGATTCTTTACTATTTTTCCTCTGATTGTGAATTGAATAGTTGTCACGTTTTTGACGTAAGTGTGATCGATGTGATTTATATGATTTGTTGCTTATACTTGTTGTTGATCGTTTCCTACCTTGAAACAGACGTTTTCTTAATCTTGCTAAGAATGGTTTTTTCGCTTTCTCTGAAAGACTTATTATTGTCTTTAAAAAATGATTTCTGGAAAGTTTTTTTTTAAGTAATACTTTAAAAAGTTTAACAAGCATTTTTTCTTTTGGTTAAAATAATAAAATAGTTTTCGAAGTTTATGTGAAATTATATTATCGAATATTGCACAGCGATCTTTTAAGGAAATAAACATTTCATTTTTTTTTTTTTTTTGAAATACCTGAAATTTCACCTGTATGTTTTTTATATTTATCACGTTTACTCTCCATATGACCCATATTACTGCAATAATATAATGTTGTAAACAATGTAAAAAATTTTCTACATTTTTTTAATTAATTCAATTCATAGTTGAAATAACAACGAAAGTTGAAATGATATAGCTAACCGATTAGCAAAATGAATGAACGAAATGAGATTTAAATAAGAAAACTTTATATATTTTTAATTATGCAAATTTTGCATTAATTTCGACATTTTAATTGAAGTTTTTTTTTGTTAGAGAGATTTATAGTAAATTTTATCAACTTATCACCATTTATAAGTGTAATTATTAATTGGATAAATAAGCAAGGGAAAATAGAGATGATATTTTTAGATGAGATGATATTTTTTATATGATATTAAGCTTATGCAAATTAGTGTGTTCTAAACTTTTTTTGATAACGTATGGAATATTCTTTTTTTGCACTTATATTATCAAAATCACTTACATATCAAATTATTATTAGTTAAAAGAAAATCGATTACCAAATACATAATACGATAAATACGATGATAATATGAAATAATATCAAAATCAATATCAAAATCACTTACATATCATTTACATATCAAAATTAGAATCAATCAAAATATATCATAATCACTTACATATGAAATCAAAATCACTTACATATCAAAATTAGAATCAATTATTTGTATTAACTTTATTAAAGATGTGAAAACATTGGATACTGAATAAATAATAATATTTTTTAGGCTTTTGCAAATTGGATAGTAAATAATTAATATCGATCATTGATTTCATATACTTTTCATTTTGTGTCTAAACTTTTTGACGAAATTGTTTTACTTTCAAATTATTCCACACTATCATCGTATTTATCGTATTATGTATTTGCTATTCGATTTTTTATTAATTAATAATAATTTTAAANTTATCAAATTATTAATTAATAATAATTTTAAATTATTCAAATTATCATCGTATTTACCGTATTATGCATTTTCAGAAACACTGTAAAAAAAATCCCTTAATTTAGAAATATGAAAATTTGAATTGTTTAAAATTATTATTAATTAAAAGAAAATCGATTACCAATTTAACTTCATGAAATTCACTTCTTCTAATACACTATGCCATGCTCATTCAATAAAGAAAATCTTAAATAGTAAATTTAGTAATTTCATAATCTTTCAATTGTAATTTCATTTTTTATTAACTTAAAAATGTAAAATAAAATGGGTCGATAATTTCTTTGATAATTGCGAAATTGAAAATATAAATAATTATTCTATTCACATTTGAATTATTGCTAGAATCCAATTTAATTTACATAGGAATATTTAAATTTAAATTAACAATAATTCAGAATCATTAAATAAGGTGTATTTCTCTTAGACTGTATCATTTGTATTTTGTTGCAAACAGAAATAGCTGGGTTGGTAACAATGAGAGCAGATGAAGCTGATATTCGTTCCGAGACGCATGTTGCGCTTACCGAGTACGTCTTATGTGTGTTTGTGTCAATTACGAAATATTTCTCACGTAACTTCTACGTTAAAGTATCATATGATAAATTAGGTTATAATGATATTATTTAATTGTATACATTCCAATAAGTTTAATTTAAAATTACCACAGTTTTAGTATTTCATTAATTATGTAGCTATTAAACACATACATTTTTGAAAATATAAATCTGAAAATTTTTAAAGAAATATTAATATTTAAAAAATTAATATTAATCTACCAAAATTTCCTGCTATCTTATTGATCATCAAATGAAAGATTGCATGAATCATAAGCTGACTCATTGTATTTATTATTTAAAAATAAAAATAATATCTAAAAAATAATAGCAACTTATTCGATGCTTAAAAAGAATAGCGATTAAAAATAGAATTTGAAAAAATTAAAATTTTAGATTGAAGCTTAAAAAATGAACTTATTGATATTATGATATATTATCATATTGATATTATGATATATTATCTTATTGATATTACTTGTTGATATCATGATATATTCTGGATATTTTTTCCGGAATAATATATTATTGAAAATTAAAAATAATTTTTTCACCAATCATTTTATCATGGCAGTTTATCAAACCTTCATTTTTAAACACCCTAATTTAACTGTTATCATTAAATATAATTACAGTGATATGACAGAAACTGTAAGCAGCTGCTCCAGCAAACCATCAGATAATATTACTTTACGTACAAGACGTCGTAACTATTTGATTAAAATAGAAAATTTTGAAAAATGTTCGGAAAAAATTGCTTTGGTAATTCTTTCATATAATATTCCCTAAAATATACCATTGTACATTATTATAATTTTATTAAATTATTCTAAATTTAAATTTAAATTTTTTTCTTTTTTATAAAACTAAAAATTACATTTATTATTATTTGGATATTTTCATCGTTTTGTTTACAATTTAACAATACATTTCTGAATATTTATCACTCAAAGATTCCTATAATTAATTAATTAATAATTTTGCTAATTTATTGTCGAAATGTAAATGAAACGATATTTGTTCCAAATATTTAATATTTTCAGTTGGTAAAACATGGGCAAGTACCACCAGCAATTGATTTATCATGCTATAATGTTGATGCTGTACGTACGTTAACTGATTTTGTTGCCGGAGTAGATAAGCGTAATTTACGCATAGGTAATAATATTCTCACCGATTTACTTCAATTGGCACGAATTTTTCGTATGAATCAATTTACCTCACTAATTATTGAGGTTTGTTGAAAATTATGCAAATTTATAGCAAAATATAGGAAGAAAAAAAGAGGTGAAGTGATTTATTTGCATATATTAATTAGCAATTAGTAAATATGTCATTTTATTCTAACACTTTGTTTAGCATATCATAAAACAATAAATTAAAGTTTCAAATTCTACGATTTAAAGTTAAGTTTAGAATTTGAAAATTTTTTTTTGAAATACCTTGCAGTATATTTAGCATGTGATTGAAGAAGTGGAAAAAGGGCCACAATCAAATCTTTTATTAGCCTTAAATTTGGCATGTTCTGATTGGAGCATGTTTTTGCACATTAATGAAGCATCAGCGCTTGTGGAATCAGCCGTTGAGAATATTCATGAAGTGACAATGTCAACTTTTTTCTACATTCTTCCAGCAGCGGCACTTGTTATGCTTTACAGCAGGTAGAATTTTTTGATAATAAAATATTATCAAAGAGTATCTTATTTATCTTATCTCTGAAAACTTACTTATGCTATTTTATCCTTATCATTCTCTAAATTTTGCTATCTTACAACGATCTATTTGCAACTGATATTATAGTTTTTCGACTTTCATAATTTGGCCAATTGATATTTTAACATCAACAAAACATTCATACTAATAAAAGCATAATGTTTGAAGTTTTAAGAAATTAAAAATTCGGAAAATTTCAAATTCAAGAATTTACCATTATATGTATATATATAATCTTATATGGTTTACATGGTGAAGATGTGACGCAGATATATCATCCGAGTTGGAGCTAAGTCAACGTTTTATCCATTGGCTTAAGAAAACAATCCGAACAGATAGCGAAGCTGAAATTCTGTTCTCGTGCATCCGGACACCATTCTTGTCATTAAAAGATCGTGAAATCATTCGGGAGAAATGCAGTGGATTACCGAAAAGCGTAGATGATTTAATCTTTCTTTTATCACATATTTGCAAAATTTTATCTCTTCTCTACAACATCCTCTTCATTCCAAATATAGCTTTATCACATTTTAAAAACCGGATACTGCGCAATCCCCATTGTTTCTGACGGCATCATTTCTTATCACTATATTTGCTAACAGAGGTTACAATTTATTTCGAAGCAAACCTTTTTCTTTGACCTATACTTTGATATTATCATATAGTTGCAATGATAATTATCAAATATCGGTAAGATTATCATCATTATCCGATTAATCATTGCGTTGTAATCGGTGATAAATTATACAGCATTCAGATAGTTTGATTACAATTGGAAGGAACTTATTACTATAAACTTGAAACTGCTCTTTGACTATAATATGAAAATCATCCCATTGATCTATCATTAGCCTACACTTTGACATTATCATATCTTATCACTTCACTTTGCTAAGTCATATTCATTTTATGATTAGTGGGTGAAAGTAAATCGTAGTATTAGCTTAAATATAAGTGAGTAATTTCAAAAAAAGTATCAAAACAAATCACAAGAAATAATTTCTAATTAATACCTTAAAATCAGTTTCAAGTGCCAAATCTTTTTTGCATAAAGATTATTTTGTTCAATCATTCAAAAGTTCTTAATTTAGTCGATACAGAAGTATAATTTTATTATTTTCAATAAGCAATTATCGAAATTCAGATGGTAAATGCAATCGAGAATACGCTAAATTCACCACGTAATCATCGCTGTTGCGTGATTCGTGAGCATATTGAACGTCGTAATCCACGTTGTGGCATTCCAAATAGCAGTAGTTATTTTAAAATAAATTACATCGATGTGATAACTAAAACGACGAAAGATAAAAATAAGAAGTAAACAATTTTACATTCGTCTAAAATGAATCTTTTTCAAAGAAGCTCTTTAAATTTTACTTATCACCTTATCTGATAATATTTGTAAACTATCACTATTTGTCGTAGACTAGCTGATAACAATTTATCATGAAATGAAATACATGATGATAATTGAAATAGCATTTTAATTTCAATCTATGAATGTTACAAATGATTGGAGAGATTCTACATCAATTAATTAACATAAAAGTTAACAGATTACATTCATATTAATGCTTCATTTACCTTATGCAAATTTGTGTCAGATATATAATAAGGCAGATTTTAAACAAACGCTTGCTCTAACATAAATTCAAAAGATGTTCGACAAAATAAAGATGGAATGTAATTTGGTAATGAATCATTTAGGGATGAGAAATTTTCATTGCCATCAAAATATTTGGAAAAGGACCTTGCAACGGCCTGTGAAAATAGCAGTCACTTGGACAACAGTATACCTAAAGGAAGTTAGTTTCAACAAATCCTTACATTTCAATTTAAACTATAACGACCTTTCTTTTTATGATAATAGTCTAATTAAAATAGTACAAATTGTTATAGCATATAGTAAGATTTCAATTTTCCATTAATAAATTAAGCGTTTTTATTTCTTATTTATTAGCTATAATAATCTGTCTTGTTAGTTCTAATTGTAATTCTCGTCTATCGATTTCAACAATAATTTTAGTCGAAATCATTGTTATCATTACAGAGTAATTATGATAATAGTGATTTTGATTTCGATCTTTATTAACTTTTTTGTTAATTTTTTTTAAAAGCTCTTTTATCTATTGTATTTCAAAAATTTTAATAAAAATTTAATTAATTTAACATTTTTAATTTCAATTAAAATTATTATCAAAAAAAAATTTAGTTTATTTAGCATTTTTTTCATAATTTTTAATAGTTTACTTCAAGTTTAAATTTAGTATAATTTTCAATGAATAATGATTGTATTGATCGATCCATTTCACTCACAATCATTCTTCATTCTCTCAAATAGGACGAAAAAGTTTGAGAATTGATGTTTTGCTAAAATGAACTCAAAGTTAAAATTGAACTTTTTGAAACCTCAGAGTGAATTAAATATTAGAGTTGATTGATCTCAGTAGAAAATTTTTTACAAATCATTTTAAAGTGAAATAATACACGAAATCAATAGTTAATTAAATTTCAAACAAAATTGATAAGATAGAGAAAATTTTATAACAACATATAAATGTGACGATGATGATGATGATGATGATGATGATGATGAGGCTGCAAAAAATTTAGGCCTAATGTTTTAAAATGTTGCTATTAAATTTGAATATATTATTCATTTGTATACGGCAGAAAAATTTGTCAAAGTTTATTTTAGATTTTGAATTTTTGATCATAAATTTTAAACATTAGCTATACACATTCTTCAGATAACGAAAATTTCTTCATATGAAAAATTTTTAATGATTGAATAAGTCTAAGAGTTAATTTTATAGCTGGTGATAATGATATTAAATATCAACGAAAACGACAACCCAGAAAGGATAGGAAATATAGTACAAATTAAGGTTTATTTATAATCGGAAGTTAGCTATGATCTGACTTTTATTTTATACATCTTATGTTCGATTTAGAAATATAATCATCATATACTGCATGATAAATTCTGGAATCTAATTTTTGCATAATAATTTAAACCTGTATAAATGATTTGAAATTTACACTAATCAATATTTTCAAAAATATTAAACATGTATTTATATATATATTCAAAAATAAACATGCCAAGATATCTATGTATCGAAATGTTGTACGAATCAAAATTACTAATTATTTGAGCTTTGTATGAAACATTTGTGGTATTTTTGAGATTGCTTATTACAATCATAGATGTTCAATTTTTCTATTATCCTATCAAAATTATTAAATCGAGCGGTCTCTTTTTATCAAAGCTTAATTTTAAAATTTCATGGGAAGAATTCAGAATTTTTTGAATTTATCTTTGATGATATTTGTAGAAGTTGTTAAACACACGAGTGAAACAGATACAGACAGAAGGAAATTTTCAAATAAAATAGAGTATGCTGTATAAGTATACATTGTAAAAGTAAAGTATACAAAACTATTGTAGTGTTAGTATTATAGCCTGTAAGGGCTGTAAATCTAAGTTTGAGCTAAAAAAGTTTTACTTATAGTTATGGCTAAGCATGGAATAGATAAGTGATACTATCTTCAAACTCTATTTCATAAACTTTATCATCAACTTGAACCTATATATTAAGCATTTCGTGTAATTTGATATTGAGATATTATCATTTGATATTATCATATTCTTTACAAAAAATTGTAAGCAATTAAATCTAAAAAATATTCAACAAATTTCAAATGTAAATTCGAATTCATTTTCTTCTTAACACTCTTTTTAATTATCGATTAGTGAGAGAGAGGGGGAGGGAAAGGGAGAACGAGAGGAAAAAATCTCTTGTCATAATTTCTATCCCGAGAGAAAATATATAATATTATCGCTGATCAATCAATAACTGTTGATCAAATTCATTTATGGGATATTTATGAGGATGATAAGATCTGAATTACGCAGAAATTGGCATAAATTGTAAACCAACAAGTTGGCATGAAATAAATAGTTGACAAAAAGGGCAACCAGTTGTTGTATTCCAAAAAAGCATGTAAAAAAAACTTATAAGAAAAATATGGGTATTGAGGACTTATGCGCACCAAATATAAATAACATATCAGTGAACCTATATGTTTACACAGAGTATAACAAGGAGAAATTAAGTTTTCATTTATTTTTTATTATTGCTATTCTATCAGACGCTAAGTGTTTAATTGATATTATTCTTACAACATAGATTTCGAGTTACTGATAATTAAATTTATTGAAAGTAACTGATATGAACGTCAACTGATCGATCATATTTGCTATGCTTAGCGTGTAGCGGACGGATACGTGAATCCAAAGTGACAAACAGAACTATGCTTAATTTCATGTTTAATTTAATCTCACGATTAATTTCTTAATTTCATGTTTAATTTTTATTTGCATGATTTTATTATCCGCATGAGAAAGATTTTACATCAGTTCGTCATCATTTGAATTCAATGTGAAGAAGCGCTCACATTCCTTCACTATTGCAGAAGATGAATTCCTGAATGAAAGGCAAAAGTAAAAAAGGCTTTTTATATCCGCTGTATGTGCTGGTTTTATTTGAAAAACTATATAGCCTTTCATAGAATGAATAAAACAATCGATAAGGTGGCTGAAACAATCCATAAGATAATTAATCAGAGATTATCAAACATGTACTGTAGTTTTCAAATGAACAATGAATCATGTCACAAGGGTTAATAATTTTGATTATTATTCACAATTCCCAGTCACTCATTTCTACTGCACATCTCGAACATTTGAAAATTTCATATTCTAAAAAATATGAGTAAGTTGTGAAATATATTGATTTCGAGATTTCGATATACGGTGGTGAGAAAGAAGGAAATGGAAAGGAAAATAAAATTCACTTCAAAACTAATTTTGTTTATAATAACAAACAGAACATTGTAAAACTTTTATTAATGAAAACAGACTGAAAAGGCAAACAATCAAATATATTCTTCAATATCTGCAACTACTCAAATGTATTTTTCTCTGAGTTCGTTGTTATGTTAATGGTCGTTAAACAAAACAGAAATAAAATTACATCTCATACTATGTCATTTCACGATAAGTGATTTAATACGTAGTAGAGGATATACTACACTTTTTCACTACATGTTGCTATAATTAAATATTAATCAAAAACATGTAAACTCAAATTACCTGTGGTGAATGTTTCTTACGAAACGCTTAAAGTTCAAATGACATACGAAATACTCAGAGACCCATATCTACGTTCAACTTTTTTTTGCTTTCTCGGCTAATTCTGTTGCCAACTCCTCATCAATTTCTTCCAGGAAAGTTTCTTGCTTAAGTCCTTTATATGTGTACATATAAACTCCTATTGCCAAACCAAACAACACAAGAAATGTAGCCAAATTCTGCAAAATAAAAGCAAAAAAAAATGATAAAGAATTAAAAATAACGAATTGAATTAGTTACAGATTTAGCTTCAAATTTTTCTTATCGTTTCTTCGTACGGAAAAATTGATAACTGGGGATTACAATTAAACAGTAAACTATAACAACAGTAAACTATAACATCCATTAAAATTAAAAAAGGAATAAATAATAATTTCCGTAATAAGAAATGAACTTATAATCTACTTCTCAAAATACCATCTAATCTCATGAGACCCAATCCTAATCTCATCGAAAAGAAATTAAATGACCCCTACAACTCATCAAGATTACTGATACGCTTCAATCTGAATTAGGAAAACGTATCTTATGACCTACTACTCACCTTATAATTCAATCTTTTCATGGCGATTGCTTTTGTTTCAGTCATTTTTAAAAATTGTTCCACATGCCTTTTCTGCACTCTTGGTAAGCTTTTAAGATCGACTTCCTAAAAATGAAGAAAGCAAAAACTTCATTAACTTCACAAGAATTGTGACAAATTCTATATCTACTGCAGATTTCATTTGCCTTATCACTTTTTTTTTCACTTTTATTTTGAATCGCCAATAGCATTCTAACCATTCCCCTGTTACGAGTTAATTGAAGACATTCATCAGACGTAAATTCCTTTCGTAAAATCATTTTCTTTAGTTTTTATTCTATTTCGTCAAAATTTAAAATTCTAGCTTTCAAAACATATTTATTCTGTCTTAATGAACAAAGAAAACCTCCAGCATTGTTGGATCTTTTCTTTTTTGCAATTCGCCGTCTGGTTTTGATATTTCTGTTAATGTTGTTTCAACAGATTTTGGTGAATAGCACCGTCTTAAGCTACCTGCCCGAAACATGCGAGTCAATGTAACTGACACAGAACATCGCGGAAGGACTCCACACATCTCACGAATACGACCTAAAAATGATAAATGCACAAAGTATAAATATTACCTTATAAATCGTCCACAATACTCTGTAAGAAATTAACTATCAACCTGCCCGGTCACTTATCTATTTCGTTCTTACTCATTTTGTTCTCACATATCCCGTTCTTACTCATTTTGTCAATGATGTAACTTGGTAATTAAGCATGTAAGTATTATCTGTAATTCAAAGTCTCTTAGACTTCACCATGTTATTGGTCTCATCTTACTTACGCATCACCTAATTGGCACGATAATTACCGAGAATCTTACCTCTGTTCAAAACTTCAAATTCTCCTGAATTTCAATTTATTAAACCTCCAGACTTGTCAGTCTTCTAATAAATGAAGCGGATTATAATTCCGAAACTTCTTGCTCATTTTCATTAAATAAAATTTGTGCAGCTTCAAAAGCATTAGCTTTGAGATTGCCACCACTCATAACACTTGTTTCCAAAGCATCAAACATCAATTTTTATCGAAATTATCGAATGAGATACCTTATTAAAGTGACACGGTTGAATGAGATATCTCATTAAAGTGATTACAGTTGAATGCTATCTTAGCACAACAAATACAAGAATATAATATTCAAATTTACTTCTCTGACTAGATTAGAATTGTCTCCAGCTTAGCCAGCACAGAATTATATGAAAGACTTAAATACGTGAAAGACTTAAGCAATATGCAATCGCACAATTGCTTTGATTTCATGAATTTTCAATTCTGCATGTCAATCACAGATCTTTTTGTGAATTTTGTAAATTCTTAAAATAACATAACTAATGCAATTTCAGATTTCAAGGCATAAAAAAGAAAAATTAGCACGATTCATTTCTACAAGGCAACGCTTGAAAATTTTCCTTTAAAATCACAAAATCATATTGTAAGCACACTGTATTATAAGTGCAATCAGCTTCTTGAATCACAACTTTCACAAACCTGAAATTCAAAAAACTGTAAAAAATGAAAAAAACAGGGAGTGTTGAAGAACAATATAAAATACCGTATAATCTAATGTTGAAAACTATTAACATACGAATTTTAAGGAAGTGGGCATAAAATTCAGAATGATTACGTGGGAAAGAAAACAAATATATACCAACATTTATATCAGCAAATGGATCTTTGAGAAGTTGTTCAGCCGTAGCTCGTTTACTTGGTTCGACTTGGAAACACAGATCCAAAAATGAATAACACGTTGAATCTGCTTGCACGCTCTGCGGAATTGTTGGCCTCATGCCACTACCAACACGAAAAACAACTTGTAGAACTTGTTCGCATTCATGCCATGGAGGCTGAAATTGGAAACCTAATACCGTTTATTTGTACCGATGTATTTCAAATTTAAATGAATTAAAAAACATGAAGTACTGATAATTCGCCAAAATGAGTTCATTAAGCTTGCATACTTAGGAGGAATCTAGAAAAGGACTACGTTTTACGACAGTATAAGCAGCATCATTACTAAGTAACACATTATAAATTAATAGTGATAATTAAAAAATTAAATTTAGGCTTAAACACGAGTTTTAATAACAGAGCTGACCTTCCCCGTACACATTTGCAGAACAACACATCCAACGCTCCAAATATCAGCTGCTCTACCATATCCAACAAGTTCCTCTTTACCGTTCATTTCCGTACGTCCACCAAGTGTCTGTACTTCTGGTGCCATATAAACCGGAGTACCTACCCATTCAGCTATTTCACCGCAAGCTGTTGTACCATCCTTCAGTCTTACTGAACTTCCAAAATCGCCAAGTTTTAAAACATCTCTCTTACCGAGGAATATGTTTGCAGCTGAAAAATATAAAATGACTTATGTTTTTACATATATAATTCATTGTCGCATTTCTCATAATAGATAAAGATTAGCAGAAATATTTCACGTTTTATATCTCGATGAATGATCATTTTCATGTGAATATATTCGACTCCTTTTAACAAGAAATGTGTATATCGACGAACATATCGCATATCTAATAAACCTTCGCGACATACTTCTTCAAGTGTCCCTTCGGGGCAGTATTCCATAAAAATAAACAATTCTTCCTGCAAGCATTGACAAGTTTTCAAAAACTATCTTGGTCAAGAAATCAAGAAAAACCATTACAATTTGAAATATACCCGATGAACTTCTACTGCATAATATTTGACCAAATTCGGATGGTCCAAAAGGCTCAAATTCTCCACTTCATCAACCAAAGCCAACAACGCTCTGTCATTTCGTTCAATACGAATTTGCTTCATGGCCATTAAACAATTTTCAGTTAAATTCATTACTACATACACCGTGCCAAACTTTCCACATCCTAAGAAATATGAATTACGTAAAACACAAATGGTAAGATCATTGACACTTTGATTGGTGTGCGATTTTTTCACAAATCCACCGAAAATTATTAAAGAGTTACGACAACGCACGGTAAAAAGCTTCACATTGATATATAAGCCTTTCAAGATTTTTCTCAAACCCCATCTTGACAGTGTGAAACATTTTTATTTCCAAAACCCAATGAGATGATAATATAAAATTCTTCTTAGATTTTATAAAATCCTCCTACCAATCTTTTTTTCTAATCGTTGCCATTCAAATGGTGCTCGCTTTTTCGGATTAAAATATGTGGATAGTGTCAGAGCTCTTCGACCACCTTCTGTCACTCGACCAATTTTATTTTCCGCCTTCAAAATTCAACAAAACAAATTACATCCCTTAAAAATCTTCTAATAAATAATTAAGATAATTTTGAGAAATCATAATAATGCGACATACCTCCAGGTGTTTGTTACGCTTTTCATCGATGTTACGCAACAGCTCATGAATTCGTTGAGAACGAGCTCTGGCATCCGTCATTGCATACGGTTCAGATTTCGTATAACTATGCGAACTTTCACTGTCTACTTCACAATCGAAAAAAGCCCCGTTCATCAGTCCGGAATCTGGAAAACGACAAATATAATGATCTTTCATGAATGTGAACTTCATTACTATAGCATGCAGTTAAGAAGTAAAATCCAACTCATCCAACTCACTGTCTCATTGTAACAAGATGAAATGATAATACCTGGAATACTACTACCAACAATGTGCGCAACGCATGCATCTACAATTTTCACCAAAGTCTGAAAGAGAATTGGATGAGGAACAAGTGTATTATAGGCATATACAAATTCATATACTTTATTAATGTGGACTTTGATGAATATTTGCATGTTAAAATTAATTCAAGCTCATTCTTGCCTTTATTGTTTTATACTCATATACTGTAGCGCACATTGACGAACAAGGTTACTCGGTACTTATTTTCTTAATTTTCTTAAATAAGTTAAACAAATCAACGAAAAAAACTATTACGAATGATAAAATCTAACCTGAAATTCCTCTTCTAATAATGTAACGGTAAGTTCCGGACATGCTGCCAGTATTAAAAACTGAAATGACTGCGTCGCCCACAGTGGAACAGTTCCGTCACCTCCGTTAACAAATTCTAACGCGAAATGTAACCAATCCTTTGCCCAGCAAACCGTTTGCCAGGCAAAACAGTGACGATCCTGTTTCGGCAATATATGATAAAATTCTCGATGGTACTGAAAAAAGAAACCATCATTTGCGTTGTATAAAAGTAAAAAAGTTTCGAATAATGAGAAAAATCAATCTAACTTCGAAAGCAAGATTATACGCTTGTATAAGTGTAGCTCGAACAGATTCCAGCTCATTAACATCGAGAGAGTTTAATTCTTGTCCATCCAACACATCCCTGACCATTTTACCAGCAAATTCATTAAATAGCATTTGGCAATTTCGATATGCAAGTTCCTGAAAGCTTTTAGGCACTTTGATGAGAGTTTTGCATGGTCAGGAAATTTATTTGTAATAGTAAGTAATCACTTTATTTTGTAACCCGACGCTAAAATTCAAACTAACTCTGAGTTGTTTTGCACTCTCAATGACGATATCATGACAGGAAGCTTGTTTTTCCAATACGTCAAACATGAAATCATATCCTGCTGCCATATTTTTAGCAAATAATTCTCTCATTTTTAGCAACGACAAAGCATTGACTGCTACCAAGCATGCATCATGCGATAACTGGAATAAATTTTTTTTAATTTTACAATTAAATTAGAATAAGCAATTGCAAGGAAGGGGTATGTAAACTGTAAATTAGCAGAATTCTGCACTGCTTGGACTTTACCTATAGGTTTACCTTACTTGGCGGCGAATTAATATTAGGAAATGTAAAGGAGAGATATCGAGAATGCTCGTGAAACGACCAAAATTCAAGAATCTTCAAGGATTTAAGTTAAATTATTTTATTAAATGAAGTAAATTATTTCTCAGCTTTGCAAAACCACCTGTAAAGCTCTGTAGAACTAATTCTAACCTGCAAATAACGCAACGAAAGTTCAGTATCCGCATCAAGATCAACTGTCAGACGTGTTCCACACCACATTTCTTCAGAAAAATCGGCAAAACATGTTCGACGTGAGATAATTAACAAATAACCGTTGCTGAAACGAGCAATATACATAAAAATGCGAGCTTTGAAACAATAAAAACCTGAAATCTGTAAGATATGTATTTAAAAAGCACTACGAATGACTGGACTTACCAATCCACAACATCTTTTGGCAACTCAGAGCGGTAACGCGAACATGTAATATTGAGTAATATTCGAAGGAAATCAATATTTTCCGATGCATTTTGATCACAAAATATAACGTAGTTACTATTTACATTTGCCAGATCATTGGAAATGACAACCTAAGTTACTGGAGAAGAATATAAAACCCAAATATTTAGAATAGAAAATAAACGAAAATTCGAAGATAAGTTTCCACTTGGAAGGATCTCAGCTTTCTACGCAAGTTGTTTTATTTTTAGTACTTTACTCATCGGAATTTAAATTACTTCGCTAAGCATCAGTAAGAGGGAAACTGTTCAGTCAGAAATAGATAATGCAAGGTAACTGACTTGTGAATGATGAGAAATAAGTAAATGGGACAAGTAGCTACGCATGTCAGCAGATTTCAATTTATAGAGGGCACATATTTCAATATCCCGCAGAAGCATTCGAGCGAATGCAAGCGATCGCAAGGAACGATCCTTCATTTGACAAACCAACGATTTAAAATGCCTACACGTAATGAATATTTGTGACGCATGCCTGAAGAAGCGTTTTCATTTAAATATATTCCTAATTATTCAAGCATTTTTATAGATGTCATCTTTTGCAACATTGTTTCTTTCAATAATCCTTGCTAAGACTGGTTTGGACACTGCTTCATCAAAATGTGGTCATGATGTGGTCATTACACTGATAATTTTATCGCCCTATAATAGCCAAAAATTTTCGTACTAATATTAATCACTGTCCTGTTAACATCACAGTTATTCATTTTGCTTTTAACTCGACTGCACAGTACGGTTTAAAAACTATATCATCACATTACCGCTAAGTCCTTTACCATGTCTCGAATTACGCAATGTAATTTTTTTATTGAAAACTGCTTGAGCAAACTGTAAAAATAATTTAACCAAGAAAAATAATTCTCACCGCAGTGATAAATCGTCATTTTCCTGAAGACCATCAGTAGAAGCATTCTCGAAAGTACTTCTGCATTCTTCCATCAGATCTTCTTTTTCCGGTAAATAGTCATTGACCATCTTGCGCATCAAATCACTTGCTATCATGCTGTAAAAATGTCATGAGAAATTAATTTCAGGAAAAAGGAAAACTATGATCAAACTTTCAACAGAAAAATTGAACAATTATCAAGATCGATTACAAATGACAACACATTGATCGTCAAACATTAGTATTTTTAAAGAAATTAAATTATAACACAAATATTAAACAACTCTGCTTACTCCATTAGCTGAATGAAAAAATCCAACGACATTTTTAGAGCTTTTAACAAGCTTTGGACGCAGATCCATCAGGCCAAGGTAACAATCAACGAGAGCAGAAAAGCCGAAACTAGAATAGTTAAAGAATAAAGCTTGATGACAGGAAAAATTTTTTTAGAAAAAAAGGAAACGAAAAATTTACAAACCAAAAACGATGCACTGTTTCACTTTCACCACAGATTACATTTACGGCAAAACGTCTTGCCACCGTCCATTGTGAAGTAAGATTCTGAATAACTCGTTCCGTCCATTCGGCTCCCACTCCTTCAGTACTGACTTCTCCATGCACCCAATCACGAACGCATGTCAAGTAACTCTATAAAAAATCATTCTGATACTTGGAAAATGTTAAAACGGCAGAATTTAATTCAACAAATGAAAGCACTCTCATATTCTTTTTTTGATTTGTAAGAATATACCTTAAAAACCTCAGCTAATTCATCCTCAAACGGTACCAGACAACCGAGTAGCACTTTGTTATCGACACCAGCCAACTGTACCAATGATACAAATCGATGCTTCACAGCAACTGCAGCCTCAATACAATCGTGACAGTCCTCCATAACCTAAAAACAGTTGTTTTTAATGCTTCAATTAGATATTGTTTTGATACGTAGCTCAAGCAAATGCTATTAACAAAACAATATATAGTAATTATGAGTGAACATTTGTCCAAGAAAAATTACTAAAATCTAGTAATATCGAAAACAATACAAAGTAATTAACAAATTTATTGCAAGCAATCAAAGCTCTTCAAAAATTGAGAAACCGAACTTTATTACTTAAATTCTTGAAAAGACCATTTAAGCCATTACAACATGCTCAGCATGAATTTTGAGAATAAGGTCAGAGCAAAGAGCTTTTTCTATGTCATAAATCATGTCAGAGATGGTTTATGGTGCTACAAATAACACAGAGTTCGCTGGATCCGTTATGCAGTCTTTAAATCCTAATCTTTCAGTACAAACAATTTTTAATTCAGTATTCAATCGATAAAAACGAACCGTTTGTAGAGTTAACAAGTCAGATGGGAGCTGTGCGGACCTACGCATTTTTAGCCACTCATGAACAAGATCAAGCGGTACTCGGACTAAAAACAGGAACAAATTCTGGAATGATGGCAATTTCATTGCCAAAAATTCTTGGTGACTTGTCAAACTCTGCGGTAAATCTCGTTTCCACTTTAGCAGAAACTGAAAACAAACAATCAACTTAAAAAGAAATAATTGTATTGAACCATATTCTCACCGTGTTTCTGTAACTGATTATATATTAGAAGCAAATTTGAATATAATACGGTCACTCTTAATCGCTGATGAAGGATGCCACAAAATACTGTATTACATATCAATCTAATGATAAAATAAGATATTTTTTGGTTTCAAAACTCTGCGCTAATTCTCTTTCGG